AGCTGTCTGTGGGTGGGAGTAGAGAAGATTAATGGTAGGTTGATACAAGGTTGGGTATATTTAGTATGGGTGTGATGGAAGGACAAAAGGTTGAGGAGTACTGAGGATATCAGGCATAGAAGAATTGAAGTTATCAGCCATGGAGTCTAGCTGAATAGGAAGTAAGGTAAGGCTGGGGGCTGTTACACTGAGAAGAGGGAGAGGTGAAGGGACTGTTAGTCTTGGTGAAATTGAACAGTGAGCATAGTTAGGGTAAAAGAGTTAAGCTATTCAATGAAAAAAGTCAAAGAATGGCATGTTGGCTTTAGGATGTTGTGCATACTCAATTAGTGTGAGTTGAATTGATGAATGGAAAGGTAGAGCAGTATGGAATGATGATGGTGTGGCCATGGAGCATGTTGTTCAAGTTATGCAAAGATGATGGTCATTGCAAATGAAATTACTGAACTGTGAAGCCTAGGTTGTTTGATGGGTAAAGATTATCTAATGGATGTTGATGTTACCAATGTAATGATAGAAGTTAGTGCAGTGAGAAATACTGTTTTTGATGAACATGGAGAAATGACTGGATGTCAGTACACGAAGAATAGAGTGTTTTACTACTTTAGACTCTTTGGTTGCAAGTATCAGAAATTAACTCAAACTAGCTTCAATAGGAAGAAGAAATTACTATGAGTGAATGGGTAGGACTCAAAGCCAGATCTCAGGAAGGGACTGGAGCCTGGACCTGGAAAGCTATTTAGAACTTAGTTTCTGCTTTTTGTTCTTATTTTCTCATCTTTGCTTTTTTTCTATTTCTGTTTCTTTCCTTTTGTGTCATATATTTCACTAGCTTTGTCTTTTGAGACTGGCTCTTTGTGATTCCTTTTTTACCTGGGAGATTATAACTGTCCTGTATCTTCTGAGCTTACATGTTGTAATTTTAGCCACATGCAGAGACTTTTGAATCCCAATTCCAGGTTACCAGAAGAGAGAATCTAATGGATTCAGACTGAGTTAGTGGTTTGCTCATGCTCCCATCAACTTTGGCTGGAGTGGGATGTTATCTTGTAATGTCATGTAACATGGCTGTTAGGGTCCTGTCTTTGTGGATGAGAGAGCAGCTGTTGTGCCACCAACTACAGTGGATGTCTGCTCTACCGCAGTTGAGTGATACAGCTGAATGGATTTAAGTCTAATTGAGAGGCAAGGAGAACAAGTGAGGATATAGGTGAATGCTTTACACTGTCCCTATGGGACTTGGGCAGTGGGAAAATGAGTGCTTTTATTTAAGAGAGAAGTGGTCTTCTTGGTGGAGAATTAGCTCTTAGTTAAGACATAGGGGACGAGGTGTTCATGAAAAAGGTTGAGGTTATAGGTTATTTATGAAAAAGAGATTCTAGGGATTATATTGGAACTCTTTGGGAAGGTAATTAGTGATAAGATTAACCAAGGAGAAGGAGCTCCAAAGCAGTGAGGACAGGACCATCACAGAGGAAAGATGACTGGAGAGTTGATTTTGGGTGATGTCAAAGTATTGGTGACAGTCATGAGAAATGTAGATGTAAATAATTGGCAAATCAATGGTTGGAAAACTTTCGTTTTCCTGTTATTTCAATCTGAGTTGAAGATAGTTAACAGAAGCAATCCAAGAGTGACTAATTTTTATGGTTCACATCTCAACACAGTGAACTTATTTTGGTTTGACACTTTATTTTTGTTGGAGTTCCCCTTTCCTGACTCATATTGATATGACTATGGTTTGAAGTGATGGACTCATTGTAGTGAATTCCGATAGTGACTTTAGGGTTTTTAATAGTCACGCATGTCCTGTACGTGGCCCTCACATTCCTGACACCTTTGTTCATCTTTTGAATACATGCTTGTATTGATTTGGAAGAGTATGACCTATAGTTATGTTGTTTGCTTCTTTGAATTGATGGCTGGGATCATGTCTCTCTTTCACTCTCTCTGTTTAAAGTTTATCTATTTTGAGAGGGACAGAGACAGCGTGAGTGGGGGAGCCAGAGAGGGAGACAGAGAATCCCACAGGCTCCTCACATGGGGCTCGGACTCAGGAAACTTGGAGATCATGATCTGAGCCAAGACCAAGAGTCGGATGCTTAACAGACTGAGCCACCCAGGTGGCCCTGGGATCATCTCTTTGAATAAAACTGTTAGTGCCTTTTCTTCATTACTAAAATATCCTTCTTACACATTACACACATACTTGCTTACTCATTCCTTCACGCACGCACACACACACACACACACACACACACACACACACACACACAGATAACACTCACTTCTTACATATAATTTGACCCCATCTTCTGTAAAACTTCCCTCAATTTCCCTCTGACTGATCATTGATTCCTTTTTTCCTTTTTGTGATAGCCATATGAATTTCCATTTTAAGTCTGGCAGACTCTGTTTATGAAATACACTTCTTTCATCTTAAGCATACATTATCTTCTTTTCACTTTTGATATTTCTTTATTCCCACAAACTGAAATGGTAGTTTGTTAAAAAGTGAAAGTAAATGTCATTGACTTTGAATCTCAATTATAGTATGTTTGAAAATAGTTCCAGACTTAAGACATTACTGTTTAGATTTAGTGATCCTTTTTGAAATTATTACATAATTTTAAATAATATATTTCTGTCAAAGGAAACTTGTAATGACAGTCAAAACAGCAAATTAAGCTAAAAAGTTACTAAATATTATTGGTGTATAAAGTGCATCAGCCTTACTGTTTTTAATGGACATATTTCTACCATTTTCTGATTAATTATTATTGCAGAAGAAAATAGGGGAAGACAGTAAAAAAGAAATTGAGACATTGTAGGAAAGATTAAGGAAGAAGAAACATAAATGAATGAGAGGCATTTGCTAGATGGTTGGACATATCTTTTATAAACAAGCTTAATAGTTGTTAAGTATGTACTGAGGCTCAATATTTATTCTTTTAAATTAAAAACAATATTTAGCTTGGGGTGCCTGGGTGGCCCAGTTGGTTAAGTGTCTGGCTCTTGATCTTGGCTGAGGTCTTGATCTCCCAGTTTGTGAGCTGGGGCCCTGTGTCAGGCTGTGTGCTGACAGCGTGGAGCTTGGTTGGGATTCTCTGTCTCCCTCTCTCACTCTGACCCTCCCCGACTCACTCTGTCTCTGTCTCTCAAGGTAAATAAACTTAAAAAAAAAAAAAAAAAAAAAAAGAGAGAGAGATGATCCCAGATATCAATTCAGTACTTTGCTGGCAGGACAGAGCCTGCTTTGGATTCTTTCTCTCCCTCTGCGCCTCCCCTGCTCTCTCACTCTCTCAAAATGAATAAATGAACTTAAAAAAAATATTTAGCTTGTTCAGCTGCATAGAAATATTAAAATATTTCCTAGTAATATTCTAGGAAAGTATTTGGTTGAATATTGATCCTTTTTCTGTGTTTTGGTCCTTTTTATTTGCCAAAAAAAGAATATTTATGTTTTTAGGAATAATTTATGATACTTTGGCCCTTGGTTTTCAGAAATTATCCTTGATTTCTGAATATTCCTCAGGAAATACATGCTCATGAGTAAACCTTTTTCATGTAAAACTTAAAAAAAAATCCTGTGCTGTTAGTACCTTTGGAATAATGGTGCTGAATGTTGAACTCTCTGAATGCTTTCTCTTTTTAATGAGTATATATAGGATATAGCTTTATAAGGATATTGCAGTTATCTGAGTATCTCAATCACTAAATATCTTGTGAACCTAGTTCTTATCCTCATTCTTTAGTTATTGTATTTAATGGTAGAATGGTCCTAAAGCAGAAGGTAAAAAGAGGTGATGGTGTCATATGAGCGGAATGGTACTCTTTAATCCTTTGGCTCTTGAAATCTCTAAAGTGTGCTTATTATGGAAAACAGAGTTGATGACATATAAGATAACTATAAAAAGTGATTCAGAATTAGGGGCAAAAAGTAGGACTAGTGTCTGCTGGATTACTCAGGACTCTTCCAGATTTGACAGGGACGTACATGGACTAAATACTGTGTTCTTTTTTTTCCTTTCCAAGTGGCTCGAGTTGCCAAATCTTTGCCAGAAGGTTGATCATTGCAGGTTGTAGACCATATTTTTTATTCCTTAATTACGTTAACAGCTAGAGTTGTTTTATGGATTTTTCTTGAGACTGATGCCAGCCCTCTTATGGGTCTGAAAGTAATTGTAACATGAATCTAGACTGTATTTTTAGTCTTTAAAATTTCCAGGAGTGTTCTTTATTTATTTCATATATAAATTCTCCATCTGTTTCACTTCTGTGATATTTTAAAAATATGCTTGCTATGAAGTACAATAAGACACTTTATGTAGTTGTGAGTTTAAGAATTTAAATTAAAAATTCAGTGATGAGTAATAGTTTTTCTTATATCTGAAGACTCTACCACTTTGTCTACTGTTACACTCTTATTCTAGTTTACAAAGGTATATATATCGTGGGTGTTTATCCCCTTAAAATCCATACTCCATCAGAGATATAGCTCCTCTTTCTGTCCGTAGTGAGAGCTATTAGTGAATGGTATAGTGTAGACCTGAGTTCAAATTCTGTTTTTACCTCTCAAATAAATTGCATTCAGTCTCATTTACTCATTTGTGATATAAATACACTGTAATCTACTTTTCATAGCTGTTATAAGAATTAGAGAAAATGTTTGTAAAATGTCAGATCCTTTGCCTACCTCTGAGTAAATGGTAGGTAAGTTGTTATTGCTATTATTAATGAGTAATGTCCATTTGAGTACTTTGAAATATGATATAGACACTGGGCTATATATGTACATTAAAAAGCATATGCTAGATTAAGGAAAGTGAGTGTAGAATCCCAGGGGGAGTTTATAGATCTTTCTGGAGCAGACCATTTCTGTTTCATATATTTGCTCAGACGTAAAAATAAGCAAGTCTATCTTTCAGTCTTGACTTTGGAAATAGATTTTCACTTCTAACAAAATATTTTTCTTCTTCTTCCTTTTTTTTTATCTTAAGGGTGCTATTTTCCTGGAAGGTGTAACTGTTAAAGGTGTAACTCAAGTAACAACTCAACCAAAGTTAGGAGAGGTACAGCAGAAGTGTCATCAATTCTGTGGCTGGGAAGGGTAATAACCATTTTAAAGTTTTAAGTAAAACTTACTCTGCAACATTTAACATTAATGCAAACATTGGCACAGTTTCTTTGCTCCTTGAAGATTGAATGTTTACACAGAGTGCTTAAAAAGATATCAAGCAAGAGTTTATCAGATTTTTTTCAAGAACAGTTGAGTCAAAATTAGACTACTAGACAGTTGAGTCAAAATGAAATGACTCAGACATGTCTTCTGAATAGAATAGAAAGTTACTTTTGTCACTATCCAGTATTTTAGTGTGCTTGATTCTACTATTGCTGATTAATGTTTGTATCACCAGATCATTTTATTAAGGGAGAATAGGTGGCACTTGAATGTACCACATTTTCCAGTTTTTCTGTAATCAGAAACCTGGGGGAATCAGTTTTATGTATATAAATATATTTATATAAATATGTTCTGCCCCCCACCATGACCTGAAAATATCTATCAGTCATTTTGTGGGAGGAGGTTCAGGAGAGAGTTCATTGTTCTAATCTTTTGCTCTCAGGTCTTGTCTATGGTCATTTCTGTTGATCGTTGCTGTCTGTGGCAGAAAATTGTAATACAGCTGGAACGTGATGAAACAGGATTGCTAATTGTTAAAAATTCTTCATATAAAGAACTTTTTGACTGGTATATTAAGATCAATTACCCAGAAATAATTTTAACTAAAAGATGAAATGAAGTAATAATGATTTCAGTGTTGTGTTAAACCCTTGCCAGTGTACTTCAATCTTGACCTATATTTCTCCTGTTTTGTCACTTCTGGGCATCTTTTGAGCAGAAATTTGCCAACCTTGTAGAGTTAATGCCAAGTTGGCAGAGTCATGATGGAGGAATATGAGGTCTAGAATAACGTACGATAAGGCAAGCAAGATTGAAACTTCTTCCTGAAGTAAACTTGTAAACATACCTGCTTTAGTTTTAGATCATGAATATTAATATTTAAAAAGCCCAATAGTTATAGTATGTAGTGGCAATTGGAATCTTGTTAACTCACATCCAAAATGTCTAGAAGATAATGTTTTGTTAGCATTCTTGGGAAAGCTGATATTTTTCCAGTTGACATTAATCTCATGATAGGGAGAATGTTGTGGTAAGTGTGTGACTAATGTGAGATTGGTTTAGGACGTATTGCTTTGTATGGATGCCAGCCATAATAGTAATAAAATGTTCTTCTTTAAGGTCTGGATTCCCTGGAGCACAGCCTGTTTCCATGGACAAGCAAAATATTAAACTTTTGGAGCAGAAGCCATATAAAGTAAGCTGGAAAGCAGATGGTACTCGGTAAGTTAGATTTCTAAAACAAATTATACAAATAATTCTAATACTTGAAGAATACTGCTTTGTTGGTAAAGAAGGTTTGTACTCTTGGAGTGTGAATTTCTGACTTGAACAGCAAAATAATCATGTTTCAAATATATAATTTTTGTTTTGCTAGTATTCTTAGTTATGTAAGTCAGTTTCTCTCATTCTGCTTCATTTTTGGTTTCAGACTTCTTTTTTATTAAAGATTGTATTTTTGGGGCGCCTGGGTGGCGCAGTCGGTTGAGCGTCCGACTTCAGCCAGGTCACGATCTCGCGGTCCGTGAGTTCGAGCCCCACGTCAGGCTCTGGGCTGATGGCTCAGAGCCTGGAGCCTGTTTCCGATTCTGTGTCTCCCTCTCTCTCTGCCCCTCCCCCGGTCATGCTCTGTCTCTCTCTGTCCCAAAAATAAATAAATGTTGAAAAAAAAAATTAAAAAAAAAAAAAAAAGATTGTATTTTTGAGTAATCTTTGCAGCCAACGTAGGGCTTGAACTCACAACCCTGAGATCAAACGTTCCATACTCCACCTACTGAGCCGGCCAGGTCCCCCTGCCCCCCAAGTTCTGTTAGTTTGACATAAATCTATACCAAATTTAAGTTTGAGAGTGTTTTCTCTTGATGATATTGTCCTTTTTGGCATGTCTGCTGCCCACCACCTGTGTTATGTGGTTGTTGAGCACTTGTAAAATTAACAGATGTGTTGTCAGTTTATAATCTAAAAATTACCTAGTGTTTCTGATACTTTGTTCCTTCGAATATTTTGTTCTCTATTTTGTTCCTTCGGATATTTTTCTCTTAATTTTTGCTAATACTTTTTGTGATTTTTATACACTCTTGTGGGTGTTACAGTCTTACAACAAAGCTTATCTTCAGTTTGATATTCTTATGCTTTTAATTAGTATAAATTTTATGATCCTCAGTAATATTTAACTTTTTCTATTTTGTAATCCTTATTTTTATGGCATTGCAATATGTATTTTTTCATCAAATGTTTTGATAGTTGAAGTAATTATTTTAACAGATGTTAATATAGAAGTCCTATTAACTTTTTCAAAATAAAGACAATATTTCAGAATAATTGACAAAACATATATATAGTTTAGGTTTTTTTTTTTCCCAGTTTTATTGAGATATAATTGACATATAACATTATGTAAGCTTAAGGTGTAGAATGTGTTGATTTGATACATGTATAGATTGCAAGATGAGTACTGTTAGCTAACATCTCCATCACTTCACATAATGACCATTTCTCTTTTGTGGTGAGAATATTTAAGATCTGTTGTCTTAGCAACTTTCAAGTGTATAATACAGTATTATTTACGGTCACCACTATGGTGTACATTAGATTCCTGGAACTTATTTGTCTTGTAACTGGAATTTTATACCCTTGACCAGTACTTCCTCACTTCCTCTACCTTCTCAGCTCCTGGTAACCACCGTTCTAGTCTCTGTTTCTATCAGTTTGATTTTTTTTAGATTCCACATGTAAGTGCTATCATCTAGTATTTGTCTTCCTCTGACTAATTTATTTCACTTAGCACAATGTCCTCAAGGTCCATCTGCGTTGTTGTAAATGGCCGAATTTCCTTCTTTCTTGTGGCTGAATAATAATCCATTGTATTTATATAGCACATCTTTATTCATCTGTTGATAGTTATTTAGGTTGTTTCCATATCTTGACTATTGTGAATAATACTGCAATTAAAATGGGGATGCAGATATTTCTCTGAGATGCTGTTTTCACCTTTTCATTTTTAAATGTTATTTTGAAGATGATGTAGGTTGCACTTAATTTTTGTAAGAAGCTTTTGAATGTCAAGGTGGCAGTTACACCTTTTGGATCATGTTATCTTCATCTACATTGTGCTTGTGGTGACCTTAAGAGATATCTATGAAGATATGGAGTGGGGCAGGTACAACTTGATTTTAATGTTAGGTGAATATAATGACAC